TAATGTATTCATAAATATACTTAGAGGACACGAGTTTCCCTTCCTTATTGTTGAGAACTCGCTGAATGAGGCGTAGGGAGAGAGAGGGAAGAGAGGGGGAAGAGAGAGAGAAGAGAGAGAAGAGAGGGAGAAGAGAGGGAGAAGAGAGGGAGAAGAGAGGGGGAAGAGAGAGAGAAGAGAGAAAGGGAAAGAGAGGGATGATTGATGATGATGATGATGATGATAATGGTAATGATAATGATGGTGATTAATATTTGATGTAGGTATAGGGAGAGAGGGAGAAGAGAGGGGGAAGAGAGGGCGGATGATAATGATGATAATAATGGTAATGATAACAATGATGATTATAATGTCATGATTATGATAACAAATGATTATGATGATGGTGTTGCTGTGCCAATGGTATTAGTTACATGACTGATAAGAATATCACTTCAAAGACCTGCTTATTAAGAAGATGCTTCTTAAAGACAATTCTTCTTTACTTCTTCAAGACAATTTATTTCGAATCATGTTTGAAAAAATTCTTCTTCTTTTTTTCTCATTCTCACATTTTTTTTTTTTACTCCTTCACTTTCTTCCTCTCTCTTTTCTTCTGTTTCTCTCTTCCTCTTCCTTTCCTCTGTCTTTCTTCCTTCCCTTTCTTCTTTTTCTCTTACTCTTCTCCTCCTACTCCTCTTTTCCCCTTCTTGTGTTCTTCTGCTTCGGCCTTCCTCGTCCTTTCCTCTGATTTTCCTCCTTCCTTTTCTATTCTCTTACTCCTTCTCTTCTCCTACTCCAATCTCTCTCCTTTTCCTCTGATTCTCTCTTCGTCTGTTTTTCATCCTTCACTTTTTTCTATTACTCCTCTTCCTCCTCCTTCTTTTTCTTCCCCTTCCCCTTTCGTTCCTTCTCCTTTCTCCTCCGATTCTCCCCTTCCCTTCCCCCTTTTCCTTCCCCTTCTCCTACTTCCCCTCCCTTCCCCTCCCCCTTTCCTTCCCCTTCTCCTACTTCCCCCACCCATCTCCTCCAGTTTCTTTCCCCCTTTCCTTCCCCTTCTCCTACTTCCCCACCCATCTCCTCCAGTTTCTTCCCTTCCCCCTTTCCTTCCCTTCTCTACTTCCCCCCCTCTCCTCCAGTTTCTTCCCCTTCCCCCTTTCCTTCCCCTTCTCCTACTTCCCCCACCCCCCATCTCCTCCAGTTTCTTCCCCTCCCCTTTCCTTCCCCTTCTCCTACTCCCCCCCAGCACCATCTCCTCCAGTTTCTTCCCCTCCCCCTTTCCTTCCCCTTCTCCTACTCCCCCACCCCCATCTCCTCCAGTTTCTCCCCCTCCCCCTTTCCTTCCCCTTCTCCTCTCCTTCCCCCCACCCCTCCATCTCCTCCAGTTTCTTCCCCTCCCTAGCGTATACGAAGCTCAGAACCCAAGGAGCTTCAAAAGGTCGGTGCGTTTGATATGGCTCGCTTGAAACACGCTTTTCATTGTGAACAAAGGCTACTTTTAAGCTGCCTTTGTGCCTGCGTTTATCTTCTCTGTTTCTTGTTTCTTTTTTTTTGGCTTTTACATAAGGGTACTGCGTGTAAGTGTATTAAGCCATGCAAACATACAGGTACAGGTATAGACGTGTAATACAAACGCAGACACAAACTCACATCCACATACATAGGCGCACACTATCTCCTGTACTTACGCACGCAAAAACATGCACGCACACCACGCAAATCCACACACATCCATAAAACACACACAGACGTCCACCCCCCGCCCACACACACACACACACACATCCACACCCACAGGCTACAGAACGGGACATCTTAAAGCATAGATGCAGGTCAGACACCCTTCCATTGGCACAAAAAGACTTCCTTGGGGCGTTGGCATAGAGTTTAAAATTCAAGTTCAAGATAACTGCATTCGTCAAGCCTCCGGAGAAAGTGTTCGTGCAAAAAATAAGGGTTCACAATGTCTAGAAAGAAGAAGAAAAGACAGAGAAGAGAGAGAGAGAGAGAGAGAGAGAGAGAGAGAGAGAGAGAGAGAGAGAGAGAGAGAGAAAGAGAGAGAGAGAGAGAGAGAGAGAGAGAGAGAGAAAGAGAGAAAGAGAGAGAGAGAGAGAGTGAGTGTGTGTGTGTGTGAGAGAGAGAAGGAGAGATAGATAGATAGAGAGAGAGAGAGAGAGAGAGTGTGTGTGTGATAAAGAAGGAAAGATGGATAGAGAGAGGTGTGTGTGAGAAAGAAAGAGAGAGGGAGTGAGATGGACAGAGAGAAAGTGAGAGCGAGAGAGAGAAAGAGAAAGAGAGAGAGAGTAAGAGAGACAGACAGAAAGTAAGAGAGAGAGAGAGACAGAAGAAAGAAAGAGACAGAACTAGAAAAAGAAAAGCGAAATAAATAAATAATAAAGAGAGAGAGAGAGAGAAAGCCACGCAAATGATCATAATTCACAACCTTAAAGGGGCCAAGCATTTCAAGATTGGCAGAGTACCCCCGAGGGCAAAGCCACGGGGAAAGGAAGAGGAGGAGGAGGAAGAAGAGGAGGAGGAAGAGGAGGAGGGGAAGAGGAGGAGGAGGAGGAGGAGGGTGAAGGGTAAGGGCCTGGGGGCATGAAATAAGGGGGGGAGGGGGATGGGGGAGGAGAGGAACCCTTAAGGACCCCCCCCCTCCCCCAACCTGCATTTCTCTTCCGTGGGGTCAGTCACCTCCT